TGGCCTGCAATTTCCTTTTCTTATCTTATTGTACTAGCTAATACTTCTGTGACAAGAAGGAGTGTGGACAGATGAAAAGTCTGATGTAGTTTTTATCTTTGTTCCTAATATATGTGAAGTATTTATTTTCTGTTTTCAAATTTTTTCTTTCTCTTTCTGTAGTTTGAACACTTTATAGCTTAGGTATAGTTTTTGGTATTCATCCTGACTGGTGTTCTCCGAACTTTCTAGATCTGTGGTTTGTTGTCTGCCATGGATTTCAGAAAATTCTACTATTACTACTTCAAATATTTCTCCTTTTCTCTCCTTTTGGTATTCCAATAAGGTATATATTACACATTTTGAAATAATAAAATAGTTCTTAGATATTGTTCAATTTTTTCTAGTCTTTTTTCTTTTTGTATTTCAGTTTGGAGTTTCTGTTGCCCTGTCTATAAGCTTATTGTTTCCTTGCCCCTTGCAACCTAATTATTTGTCTATAACAAGGCACTCTTCAATTTTGTTATAGTATTTTTTTAATATCTAGCATCTCCTTCTGGTTCATTTTTAAAGTTTCTATTTCTCTATATTAGCCATCTTCTGTTGTGTACTTTTACTAGAACATTCCTTAGAATATTGACAAGTTTTTCTAAATTCTTGCATATATGTGATAATTCCAAAACATTTTTCATATTACTTTGGATCTCATGCTTGGTTTTTCTCTTCAAGAGTTTTTTAGGTTTTTCTTTTAGCATACCTTATAACTTTTTTGTTGAAAGGCAGATATAAATTACCAAGTACTGACCTAAACAGGTGAGGTTAATGTGAGGTTGTGTTAATCTGTCCAGGACTTGGACTTTAGGGTTCCCAGAATAAAATTCCATGAAAATGTGTGAGTTGTCTAAAATTTCAGCTGCTAGAGGTTTGTCACTGCCATGCTAGTCTATATTTTACCACCAGTGATTTGCCGAAGTTACTGCTTAAGTGTTACTTCCATTTTATGGTTCCATACTTTCTATTCTTATAAGTAGAACAAGTAGAACTGGGATATGTTTCTGCAATTAAAGTGTTTTCCCAGACTTCAAGGCTGAAGTCTGCTCTGATTTCAACTTTCTAAAGGGTCCAGGAAAATCATTCAATTTTAGCTTGCTCAACTGTTTTTTGTTTCTATAAGATGGAAGTGACATCTTCTAAGAATATGATAGGCTGAATCTGAAAACAGAAATCTGAAGCAAGCTTTTGTTTTTTGAAACCGTCTGAATTTCATACATGTTGATAACTCTAATGTTATTTTGTTCATTATCTTTATAGTTTTCCATTTTATAAATATACCATGCTTTGTCTACTCTCCTGCGGAACATGTATGTTGTTTAAAGACAATGCTACATGCACTCTAATAAAATCTCCTAATGTGTATGTGCCAAGATTTTCTCTAGGTCAGCAGGAGACTGCTGACTTATAGTATATGAGCACCTTCAATTTAACTAAATATTGCCATGATATTCTTGAAAATGGTTGTACTCATTTATATTCCCTCAACAGTATATTAGAGTTCTTACTCCGTACATTCATCAATATTTGGTTTTTAAGTGTATGCCAATATAGTGGGTATTATATATAGTATATACCATTTTATTTTGCATTTTCTTGATTATTCATGAGATTTACTTCTTCCTTTCTTCCTTTTTTGTTTTTTAGATAGGGTCTCCTTATGTAGTTGAGGCTAGCCTTGAACTCAGTATGTAGTCCAGGCTGGCCTCAAACTAACAGTGATCCTCCTGCCTCATGTTCCCAAGTGCTGGGATTACAAGTGTGCACCACCATATCTGGCCTGAGATTTCTTAAATTTATTGGCCATTCATGTTTTTGGCTCTGTGAATTGCATGTTTATATCTTCTTCCCATTCATATTACATTGTTTGTATTTTCTTATTAATTTGTGGGAAAGATTTAACATGACTTAGAAAAGCATAAACCATCAAAACTACTGACAGTTTGACAACAATGAAATGAAGATGTCTGCTCAATAAAAGACATCAGCAACTATGTTAAAAAGATGAGCCACTCACAAGAAGATACTGAATTCACTAAAAAACAGCATATATTTGAATGCAGAATATAGAACTATTACCTATGAATAAATATGGAGAAACAATCAAATTATGGACAAAGGAATGGAAAAACTAACTCATGAAGCGTTGAAGAAGGGCTAAAAGATATATGAAAAAGGTGCAGACTTCACAGGAAATCAGGAATTGAAAATTAAAACAATGCCATGGCTTTTTAAATCTTTTAGGTTCACAAAACTAAAAGTCTAAGCTGGGCATGGTGGCACATGGCTTTAATTCCAGCACTTGGGAGGCTGAGGCAAGTGCAGCTTGGGCAATTTAGTAAAACCCTGTCTCAAAATAAAAAATCAAAAAGGGACAAGGATGTAGTTCACTACAAAGGTCCTGGTTTGATCTCCAGTACAAAAAAGTCTAATACTATTAGAGTCTTGGCAAACTTGTGAAAGAGAATCTCTGATATCCTGCTTATTGGAAGTTGAAGATATACATATCACATACATTAGTACAGTAGTTTCACTCCTAGAACAATAATTCAACAGTTAGAACAATAACTCAAAATGTCATTCTCAGTCCAGTAGCATCAGTATTTCCTAGGAACTTGAGAGAAATGCAAATTTTCTACTCTGTTCCAGAGTAACCAGGTCAAAAATTCTGGGGGAGAATTTGCGTTTTTAATTTAATCAGGTGATTCTGGTACATATTAACATGTAAGAACCACTGCAAGGGAAAGATCCTTTTCCAACTTTCTGACTAAAATCTCAAGAAGAACTTCATTTTATAATGTAGCCCACATACAACTGTCCCTCACCCTCCATCTTCCCTTGTCCAAATGTACACATGTGGAATAAAAGCTTTAATTAGCAGTGATTAACTATATGAAAAATACTTGAATATTTCCTATTATATTCTATTTCACTTTTTAAAATTGCTGGTTGTTGCCTACTAATTGTAACTTAATTTTGAAAAGCAGTGTTCTAGAGAACACTGTGTAATAAAGAGATATGGACAATAATGTTTTAGAATTATCTGTAACAGCAAAGTAATAGGAAAGATAAATCTTCAGGAAAATGGATAAATGAGTTATAGTATAATTCTATCATACAATGCTAAATAGTTTCTTGTATCATTAGAAATTTCAAAAATCAGGTATATTGAGTGGAAAATTCAAGTTACAGAAAGAATCTAACATCATCTATATAGTTTTAAAATATTTATGAATACAGATGATCCTTGACTTACGATGAGTTTATGTCCCAACAAAACAACTGTAAGATGAAAATTATCTTAAGCTGAAAATGCACTTTATACACTTAACCTATGGAAAATCATAGTTTAGCAACACAGTACACTATATCATATCAGTTGATCCCCCTTGTGATCACATGGCTGACTGGGAGTGGTAGCTAGCTGTGGCTATTTAACATCACAAGAGGGTACCACACTACTTATCATTTTCCTGAGGGGGAAAAAAATCAAAATTCAAAGTACAGTTTCTACTGAATGAATATTGGTTTCACACAGTCAAAATTTTAAAATGTAATTTAAGCCATTGTAAGTTAGAGGCTGTTTATAAAGACATAAAATGTGAAAGAAAATGAAAACAGCAAATTCATGATAGTGGTTACATCTGCAAAGGAGAAAAGAGAATGAGATTGGTGAGACATGGATGTCTTCAGGTATATCTGCAATGATTTACTTTTTTAATTAAGTCAGTCTGGTGATTAAGATGCTAAATATGACAGGCTTGTCACAGGTGTTTGCTATATTATTGTATAAATCTTTAGTATATTAGTAATGTTTCATAATAAAAAGTAAATAAAAATCAAGCTGTCCTTGAACAAATAGCAAGAACATATCAGAAATTCAACCACTCAAAGAAAAGTGCTTTAGGCCAGGCGTGGTGGCGCAAGCCTGTAATCCCAGCACTCGGGAGGCTGAGGCAGGAGGATCGCTGTGAGTTCGAGACCAACCTGGGCTACATAGTGAGTTCCAGTTCTTTCTCAACTACATAGTGAGACACTGCCTCAAAAAAACAAAAACAAAAAACAACAGCAACAACAAAAAGTGCTTTATCCTTTACCTACAACAGCTTTTCAAAAAAACACATTCATAGAAACTGGCAGTATTTTTAAATTAATTTAAAATTAATTAATTGGTTTTGTTAATTAGACACAATAAATTAATACTTTAAGGCAGTGGTGGTGAACCTATGGCATGCGTGCTGCAGTGGGCTGTTTGTATCAGTAAAAGCTCTAAAAGGTTTGCTATTATTGCTTTAGGAACTTGTATTCTTTCTCAGTGTGACATGGTAATGATGCATATTCCATTCCCAGATGTAACATATAGCTTGGATGTGAAATAATGAATTGATCTATAAAACAAAGATTATATACAATGTTACTTGGTTACAAGTTGCCAATTTTGCAAGGCTTAGAGGACCTGTGTTTTCACTTTACTGCTTTACAATCAGCAATTTAAGTTATATGTCAAATTAAAGCCAGGTAGAGAACTCTGAAGAGAAAACTCAGATAGTAACTAACAATTAACCCTTCTGACAACCAGTCAATTATTTATTGACTAATTCCAGAGGCACCATGGCTACCAGCTATGGTAGCTGTATGAATACAACTTGATTATTACCAGGCTAGGAAACTGTGGGTCACTTTTCCTTTAGTTCAAAAATTCTAATGGGTATGGATTGAGTCTGATCAAAATTTCTTTAAAATTATAAGGGTGAATTTGGACCTAAGAAAAGCACAAAACGTCATAAGAAATATGCTACTCATATACCGGTAGGATGCAGAGAATGAATAGTCAAGGTCAAGGACAAACACAATCACTGTGCCTATGTCATGATCTTTGATAAAATCAAAGCTAATTTCAAAGTATTACTTTAGGTAGAGGTAAATAAAAATGGAAACATCTCATGTTGTTTTCTTAGTTTTGCCTATACCTTGTTTGGTTCCCCTGGATTATATGAAGAAAACATAGGAATTTTTCGGATCTCTTCCTCTGACAAACGATTTCTTTGGATCTCATCTTCTGGGACAAATTTTATTGTCTGCGTCAGCTTCTTAGGCCCAGTCCAACACTGCTCAGGTGAAAAATCAATAACTTTTGCCACATGGAGACTGGGACCTTTACCCTGTGCTGCCTGTTTTCCCTTGTCCTGGAGTAATGATGGGTTCTCAGCTGTGCCACTATCACCCACTGATGCAGCTGAGACCAGTGAGTGGGAAGCAAAGGGTTCACCTCTCATAACTTGGAACTCTTCAAGACGTTTTTTCATTATCATCTCTTGGTAAAAATTTTCCAGGTTGTTCATAGGATCACCTTTGTTCTTCTTTTGGGGTTCATCTGGATCAAGACAAAGAGATAGGGAAGTTCTACAAAGCCTCCCAGTACAAACTCTGACAAACAAAAATTAAATCCTAGATCTCAGATATCTCTGCTAGGAAAGGTGTTTATAATCTGTGACAAATGACATTAGTATATAGCTATCTTCTAGTGCATTTCAAGCAAGGCCAGAATGAGGGTGAGGCAAGTGAGGCACCTAGGACTCTGAGAATCATGCAAGAATGTATGTACCTCTAACTGATAAAAACACTTGAAAAATATAATATGTTATTACAATTTATGAAATTAATAATTCATCATTATCAACTTCATATTTAAATTGCCTTATCAGGTATTTTTTTTCACACTTGATTATTCAGAATCTAAATCAGTCTTTGCCTGTTAGCATCTCATAAATCCCTTTTATTCTGAAACAGTGCCCTTTTCTTCTATTCATCCAGCCTTTTTTTCTCTCACTACTGTTGATTTATTAGAGAAACCATATTTGCTATATGAACACATGAATTTGATGGATTATTTCTTAATGATGTTAAATTGTTCCTCAATCCTCTCTGTTCCTTTGCAGTTATCATTATATCTAATACAGTAATCATAAGCCATATGTGTGTATTTAAATTTTTAATGTCACTTTCTCAATCAAACAGTACATTTCAAATATTCAATAGCTACATGGCTACTGAATACCACATTGGACAGAACAGATAAAGACTATAATAATTATAAAAGATTATATTTAATAGTGCTGATCTAAAGTTTTAATTTAGATAAATGTACAATATTTTCAGGCAAGAATTTTTCATAGATACATGTATGTTTACTGTATAGCATGATGTTATGGTTTAGATCTAAAATGTTCCCTAAAATACTAATGCTTGGAAGTAGGGTCTGGTTGAAGGGAGTGGGTCACTGGAGGCTGACAGTGAAGGGTATATTACTGTTCCCAATTCCTCCCTTCTATCTGTGCTTCCTGGCTGCCATAAGGTGAGTAGCTTTCTACCACCATGCCATTTTGCCTTAGATCCAGCCAATCACAGACTGAACCCAATGGAAACTGTGAACCAAAATAAATCTCTCCTCCTTTAATTTTAGGTTTTGGGTATTTTGTCCCAGGGAAAGAAAACTCGCTAATACAGAAAGTTGGTAGCAGTGAAGTGCAATTGTTGCTATGAATGTACCTAACCATATGGCTCAAAGAGCCTTTGGAATTGGTTTGTAGGAGGAGGTTGGGAGGTTTAGAGATGCCAGCTAGAGAAGCCTTAGAATACTGTAAATAGAGATTGATGTGAGATGCTGGTGGGAGCTTAGAGCACCACAATATTCACAGGAAACAGGGCAGTAATGGCCAGCCTCATGATATTTCAAATGGGAATGAGGTCTCTGTTAAAAACTGGACTACAGGGCTAGGGATTTAGCTCAGTGGTGCTGCTCCTGCCTCACAAGTGCAAGGTCCCGAGTTTGATCCCCGGCATCACATACACACACACACACACACACACACACAGACTAGAGGGCATGCATACCACATTCTGGAAAAGAACTTGTCTTCTCACAACACTCAGTGAAATAAAGCAGACACATAAAATTAAATATCACATGGTTTTTCTCATATGAGCAACCCAAAGGATAAATAAAGAGCAAAATAAATGACAGATTACAGGAAAGACAGAAGTAGACTTTTTGTAGATGGGAAAGGGTCTTGGGATGGAGGGAGAGTGGGGAGAGTGGAGTGGAGGGGAAAAGGAAGTAAAAAGGATGAAGATGTGATATGTATGTATACCAACTCCTCATTATAAATGTGCTAATTATGCATCACAAATATGTGTTAATGAAAAGTAAGAATTTGCCTTCATTTGGTCTATACCTTAAAGCTTTGGGTAAGGCTGAATTTCACAGTAGACTAATTAATCTGGTGGAGGAAATTTCAAGGTAGCCAAACGCTCAGGTTGTGGCAGCTGTACGGCTAGCTCTTTTTAGCCAGATTTTTAATGAGAATCAAGAGAAAAAAGTAGAGCTAATGATATGAGAAGTTTACCATTTTTTCCAGAAAGGAAGCACCTGCAAAGCTGGAGCAAAGGACATTACGGTTGCTGAAAAGATCAGCATTTAAAAAAGCCAAGTACTTTGTATCAGGACAATAGGAAAGATGCCTTGAGGGCATCTCATGAAATGGCTAGACCCCACATACTGCAATCTCAAGGATGTAAAAAGGTAAACATTTTTGAAAGACTTTGCTTTCAGAAGACAGATGCAGGGTGCCCTGCTCATTCAAGACTGCCTAGGGAAGTGTATGCATGAGTTCAGCCATCCAGACATGCAGAGGCCTCTGCAGTTGTGGTCCAAGGGGACTAGGTTACTGCTCGAGGTGGTGGCAGACGGTAGTATCATTCAAGTGGTGCTGGTTTTTCAGGCATACAGAATGCAACAGTTGTGGCGTCATGGAGAATACTACTCAGATTTCAAGGGAAGGCCTGAAAGGCATGCAATGTGCCCCTGGAAGGGTGATGCATACAGTTGTGAGAGTGAAGCCAAAGATGCAGATGAGACCCAGAAAGTTGGAGATGTCAGGAATATGGAACATCTACTGAAAAAAACCACACATAAAAAGTGGAGTTGGCCCAAGAGGGAATCCATGTGGGCTGCACCAACAAGGCTATAGGGGCAGGGCTGCCCAAGCCCTTTGTAACTTACAGCTCACTATCACCTATCTTGGGTGTTGGACATGGAGCTACAGGATTTAATGTTTGCCCTGCTGAATTTCAGTCTTGCTTCTGTCTGATTCCTTTCTATTCCCCATTCCTCTTTTGGAATGGGAATGTTTGCTCTGTACTAGTGTATGTTGGAAGTATTTAACTTTTTTTATTGTTACGAGAGCACACAGCTAAGAGTTTGCTTTGAGTCCAAAATTTGGATTTTTCAGTAATGCTGAAAATGTTAAAACTTTCATAACTCTTTTGCATAATAAGGTAAACATGCTACTTTTGGGGGCCAGGGTTGCAATGTTATATTTTAGATCTAAAATGTCCTCCAAAATCTCATGTTCCAAAGGGGGCCTGGCCAGAGGGGCAGGTCAATGGGGGCATGACATGGGAGAGTGTATTCTTTTCCCCAGTTCTTATCCTTCTCTTTACGCTTCCTGGCTGCCATGGAATGAACAATTTTCTCCACCATGTCCTTCTACCATGCTGTTTCTGCCTTGGAGCCATCCAACCACGGACTGAAGCCACTGAAATCTGTGAGCCCAAAATAAACTCGCTCTTCTTTAATTTGCAGGTGTCAGGTACTTTGTCTAAGTAATGGGAAGTGACAATATACATGCCACAAAACACATACTTTTTGTGATCACATCTTTAGTGATGCTGGAATTAATCAGTGGGCCCTGGTAATGTTAGTCATATCCCTCTATTAGAATGCTTTTCCATTCACTTTTCACCTTTGAGTTTCATATCCATTGATGACCATTACCTAGATTTATTGATTTATTGAGGTGCAAAATGGGGCTTTCCTAATGTTGTTATTTCATTTGTATTTATTATTTGGATTTCTATAATGAACTTATCATCATCAACTATTTGGTTTCCATAAATACAACTCATAGAGGAAAGGCAGGATAAATGTTTGATTCTTTCCCATTCTTTATCAATCATGAATTTCCTAACCCAAACCTGGAATACTTTTCCAAGGACCTCTGGTTCCTTTTCACTGGGAAGTGGTATTTAGAAACCACAGTGTTGCTAGGTGTGTTCATTACTATTGAATTGTTGGTTCTGGGCCTTTTCAGTGAATAAAGCTAGGACAGTTTTGAGAAACAATAGGTCATGAGTTTATATTAGCATTTCAAATTCAAATTTAAGATTATAAAGTTTTCAAATTAAGCTCCTTGATTTTTTCACTGGTGTTTCTTATGGGCTTAAGATATTGAATCCTTTTTTTGGTACCAGGGATCGAACTTGTGTCCTTGTGCTTGCAAGGCAGGCCACCAAACCACTGAGCTAAATCCCCGGCCCCAAGATATTCAATCTTAATATTATCAAAATGATTTATGAGCTTCTTCCTACAGTTGATGTACAGTATATATTTTTTTTGTACTGGGGATTGAACTCAGGACCTTGCACTTGAGAGGCAGGCAGCGGCACCACTGAGCTAAATTCCCAGCCCCAGTATAGAACTTTTAAATTTTAAAACAATAATATTATTATTATCATCATCAGCCTTAAAACTAGTGAATACAATTTCATATTTTTGCAGTTATTTTCCTTAGAATATATCTTATTAGGAATACATAATTATTACTTTACAGGCACTATAAGTAATTCTTTTCTTTGTGTGATTAAACTATCAATTATATTATTAGGTTCATTTGTTTCAGGTTGCTTTGCATATTATAGATTTTCCTCTGTTTGTGATATTGCAGATTAAACACAGGGTCTTGTACATGCTAAGCAGGCATTCTATGCTGCATCTCCCAGCCTCTTCCCCTTTTTTATTATTTAATTATGCAAAACACAGGATCTAAAGTGAAAACTGTTATATGGTATCTTCACAGAAATTTACTTCCATTTCTGTTCCCTTCATCTCATTGTATTCCTTCCCCATAAATATTTTAAATTTGCCTTACTGTTTCATTTTTGAAAATATAAGCAAATAGGCACATATATACACACATATAAATCCATTAGTTATTCCCTTCTATATAAAGATAAGCTTTGTTCTATAACTTATTTTTTATATTTGATATATCCTAGAGATAATTCCTTATTCGCGTAAAGCACTTCTTCCTTCTCATAGTTGCACAACATTTGATTATGTGATGCACAACAGTTTACTCAATGGATGTACAACAGTTGACACTGACCTTATATCCAGTCTTATGCTGTTATGAATAATGCCCTAAAAGTGGCCTTGTATATATAAGGTTTGGTATTTTTCCAGAAAGTCTTTAAAATAGATTCTAAGAAGTAAAACTGCTGGGACAAAGGGTAAATATGTGTATAACCTTTCTA